GGGAACATTTGGGAATTAGAGTAGAACATGTGGGGAAACATATGATCAAACCTGTTCCGCTGCAGAAACGCTCAGAATGTTTAAATATTTAATATTAAGTTGACTATTTGATATTATTTCACTCAGATCAATCTTTCTGTTTGTTAATCAACGTTTCGCAATATTGGAAAGTGTACCCTGGTTCGGAAAACTTGAGTGTAACGTTTGGGACGGACACAATCATAAAATCGCATTGGTGTTCAAAAGCAAAGCAATGTCTCTTGTCAGCATTTGCTCAATGAACCAAGAGAAACTGTAAAAAAGTCATTTATCTTGAAAATGTTTGTAAAAGTTGTGGCATGCATATTAAATCTTTTAGAATATCACTATCTGTAACGCATTATTTAATGTAATTGTTATAAATGCGTTTTTGATGCAATGCACAAGTCAGGGGTGAAAGTTCGACGTTATTATGAAGCTATTTTCACTTCCAAATATGAATACAAAGTGTGTAAGATTTTCCTGGATCCAAATAGAAGATATAAAAGAAAACGATATTAAAATCGTAAAAGTAGGAATTAGCATTAGTGCTATTCAGTAATGATGTTTATTTTTATACAGTTTAATTTTTGCTTAGCAAGCATACCCTTTTATATTAAGAATCATCAAAATACGAATTAAGGAGTAAAGAAGGACAAGGATTAACATATTATAAAACTTTTTTTTTCATTGGAAAGTTTTGAATGACAACAGGCAATATTACTGACTTGGTTATCTCAAAATATCGAGTGATGTTCTAATGTTTTACGATACAAGAAGACAAGCAATAAAATTTGTAAATCTCATGCGTTATCTGTTTGATTAAAATAACTTAATATTTGAATATATTGAATATATTGAATATTTTTAGAATGTATATAAGTATCAAAAGGGTAATATACGAGTTCTAACATGTGATATTGAGTTACATTGGTCTAAGTCCTTGTAGAATGAACCTTAGACAATCATTAAGATGGCAAAACCTAGTATCTCAAAAATAATATTTTGAGTTACGAGTTTCTAGATATTCAATAATGTGCGGTTCACAGGATACACAAACCCGTATTTGAAAATCTAGCCTCGATCCCAATAGAATCGTCATAGAGGTGAAGGATCAGCACATCGTATCTTCTGACGCTCAAATAATAAGTTTTTGAAACTCGTATCAACCGTAGCAAGCAAATGTTGAAGAAAGATAGAATTAGAAAGGAAAGGTTTTCTGATGCAAAAGAAGCAAAGGGAAACGTCGTGTATTTACTATAAACGTTCAAGAAATGATATTAGGGTCAGCTACTCAGGGCACTTGTCTACATTTTATTCTACCCGCATTATTCTACATCGTTCACAATAAGATTCAGTTTAATTATTTAATTGATTTGATAATATTTATATACATTTAATAATTTTCTTTTGATAAATACAGAGACGTTGGGATAATATCTGTGTATTTCTTTCCAAGATTTTCTAAAGTATTGAGAATCGTACCTTGGTCGTAAGTTGAATAACATCCATTGTTTAGTTAGCAAAATAGTGTTTAAATTAACTTATTTGATTTCGTTATCTTTATCCCAGTTTTAATATCCCGTAATTAAAAGTATGTTCAGAATTTGTTGGGTCAAAATCTCGAATCATGTGAAATGCTTGTTATTAATTCAAAAATGTGAACTAAATTCCAACAAAGCATGTTCGTCGTTCGGTAGATACTGATATTTATAGGTATTTTAGAAAATTAATTAATTTGGGCATCAGCAGAAGTTTTGTTTCCAGAAAACATTTGTATTTGAGACAAGAGTTTTCGCCATCTTAACGAGAAGAAAGGGAAACGTTTTGAGAAAAGTTATATGCTACCCTGGAACCAAATTTGATGCAACGTAAAAATAATTTTTATACCAGTATTTTGAAGTTTCCGTCTGTTCACACCCAAAGAAACAACTATTTAAACATTTGTCTTCTCCTTCCTTGTTGCGACAGATTGTTTGGCTTCACACTCCGGTTCTTATTCGTTTGCTGGTCGAGCAGTGCACATCAAACCAGCTTCACCTTCTTGGGACCTTGGCGGATGAAGTTACTCCGGAGATATCTAAGGCTCCAAACAATTGGGAATTATTGTTCGGCCAATTTGTTTATTATAGCCGTGACACAATTTCAGTTATAAATTGAAAAGAAAAAGAAATTTTTGTATTACCCCGTACAGGGGAATGTTTCTTCCATTCTTCTAGAAAGACGCAGAAAAAAACTTTCGCGAAAATGGTGAAAATGAAGATTGCTATAATAAGATCGTTTGTTTCTTTATAGTATTATTTCTTATTGCAATCACAATATGAATTGTCTCTTGTACTCTGGCCACCTTCGACCAGCTTTTGTGTACTACATTGTTTTGTGTATTTTATTTCTCAATAAAATATTTGGATTTGTTTTTTACGCACAGTCACCATACGACAACCGTTCTATCTCAGAAACTATTCAATTAAAGAAAATCTAAGCACATATTTGAAATTAGGGTCTGACACAAGCTCATAAACCTTTTCTGTTGATTCTTCATTGTTAATTAGATAAGTATTTTGGGGGATAATTCGCACATTCGCAATATTAAAACCATCTTTTAACAAAAATGATACCTGCTAGATAAATTGTAAGTACATATTTGGTATCAGAGTGTGATACATAGTAAATAACACATTCAGTTTTTACGCGAATCTAATGCCCACCTTTTTACTTTCCCATATATGTACGTATATACGAAGTAATATACGCAGTATAGAGAAAGTTATGTAATGATGCGGCAAATCGATTTAGAGATTTCAACGGAAATACATGTTTTGGGGTCTCTTGATACCGAAAAAGTGTTGTCTTTTTCAAAACATCCGTCTGTCCATACGTTCGTCTGTCCGTCTGGTGTCTGTGAACACTACTAGCGCCTAAACCATGCGTAGGATTTTTACAAATTGAAGAAATCCCTGTCCATCTCGCGTTAGTCGAAACTTTGAGATTTTGAAAAACTTTCTTCAACATTTGGGTGTACATTACATAAAACCTTCCGCACATTTTCAAAAATGTCTCAAAAGTGGCTCGAAATGTTTTCTCTAAAATCCTTGTAAGAAGAGTAACATATACTTATAAACGTGGCGTAGGTCCGATTTTCACCGTTAACACTGAATTTTCGAAAATTTCAAAATTATGAATTTTTTCGGTGTTTTCCTACAACTACAAAATTCAAGACAGAGGTTTTTCCTTCATAGACAATTTGTTCTCCATAGTGTTCTTTCATTAAGGCCATGTACATTTTTTTTACCAAATGTAGAACTTTAAATCGATGGCTCTTTAGATTCGAGTGCAAATCCTTTTCTTTGGGAATGATGGTGATTCAAGCATGTGACTTATTATAATTATGAATGCATTTTGAATGTGTTCTTTTCTTATTCACTAGTTTTCTTCTTTAACAGTGTGTCACCTAACATTTGGAAAGTTTCAATTCTATAATCTCATGATTTATGTATACAATATATCCATTGTTGTATTTACAGATATTTAAATAAAATACCATATTTATTCTGCCATTGATGCGCATTACATTCGATACAAACCCTTTATTCATAAAGTTTGAAATATGGGGTGCGAATTACATTCAGTGGCGCATTAGATTCGCGTAAATGCGGTATTTTTATTTCTGATGATATTCCATTGCTGACCTGTGAAATAAATCAACCATAAAACGAAGACAAGTGGTAAAACCTCTTTTCTTACGAAATTTATTTCATAATATTTCGCCCGTGGTACAAAAGAGCTGGTGGAGGGAGGAGGTCAGACGCCGCGGGCGATGTCGCCCGCCGCGAGGCTGCCGCGATAGGCGAGCGATTTCGGGGCGGGCGCGCCGCGCTGCGCCCCCGCGGGCCTCCCGGCATCGCCCGCCCCCGGCGCCCTGCCCGCGCCCGCGATGGCGCCCGCGATCACACCCGCGACCACGCCCGCGACCACCCCGCCGCTCTTGCTCTTGGGCGGCGTCACCGTCACGAAGTTGAAGCGCACCACGCGCTCGTAGCGGTGGCCCGGCTCCAGGGTGAACGACTTTTGCTTCTGCGCGCACACAAGGCAAGGGCGTTATCTTCACGGCGAAATGACACGCTGAGGAGGAAATGTTCTCTCGTGAAGATTAAGTACCAAGATACCATACGTTTCAGGGCTTTTGTCTAAAATTGTATGATTTCATTGTGCTTAATGGATACGAACAATAGTTTTAATTCGTGAATTTAATAATGTATTCAGTAATGACAAACTAAGTGTTCAGTGCATGTTCTGCGCACATGCGCTACATTTTCTCCTTAGGGAGAGATATGTCATGTCGAACACTTTCTCGTTCCGTGTTCTGATATCCCTATTTTTACGTGCGCGCCTTAGTAGCGTAGTGACTTGGAGGTATGTCTCTGTAAGCGGAACCGAAGGTTGCGAGTTTGAGGCCCGAGGTGTGAGTAAAAGAGAGAGTATACATGCGTAGGCCCTCGCATATCTAGGAAACGAATATGACACACGTCATCAAGTATTCTCTTGAAGCTTGGAACTTTTCATTTATCTCATAAAACGTGATTCTCTTCGCTTTGAGATAAAACATAAAGCATGTATTTTCGGCGAACAAGAAAAGTAATCGTCATCTCAAAATCGTAATTGTTTAGTTAAATTGGAAAATTCTATGTTTGGGGAAGAATATATTTTTACCAGAAAAAACTTCGTAGAGATACTTTAGAAGAAAAGTATACAATAAAATAAAACTCTGTCTTGGGCTGCAAAAGAAATGGTTCAGCTAAGGATAAAACCTTTATCCTTCAAAATCACATTTTTAGATGAGCCACTGGTTTTGCATAGATAATACATAACACTAAATTTAATCGAGTCTACTATAAATTTATTACAAATGAAAAATATAAAATGTGAAAAACGCGTTTTTCAGTTGCAATATCAATCTACTGATTTAAGCATGAGGTGCGAAGCTGCTCAAGCATGAGACGTTGAATCTTAAATCCCTTTTTGCCTACAGAAATATATCTTGTGAAGTTAAGAATTATAACTTTTGTATACTATTAACAAGTGAAGAAATTTAAGACTCAATAACTTGATCTCTTCAACCTTCACTTCTCAAGTAGTTGATTGGCATCAAACTTGACAAAAAGCTTTTCTTCACTTTAGTTGGTATTTAAATCAACGTTATAATTTGGATATTTTTTGTTTATTTTCTCTGAATTAAAACAATATAAAAATCAGCAAGAAACACAACGGAAGAAGACGGAGACTTCTCAAAACTTAAAATTACTGTTTTCACGAGTATGAAGGTTGCTCACTTCGAAAATAGTGTCAGGATAATCCTCTGGCGCCAGAATAACTGCGCCTTGGGCATACAGCTCATGTAGGAACCGAACTGCCGGAGTGTCTTCGATCAACAACCCTCCAATATCAGCGTCCGCGTCTTCACCCGCATTTGTCGTTGCAGTCAAGTCTTCGCCCCATGTTTCGGTGTAATCGTATTCACCGAAATGCTCCTGTACGTCACCTTGGTCCGTAAAGCTCACACTGCGAGGCCTTCCCTACAAACACAGAATGAATGGTAATAATATAATTTATATAAAAATTAATTATTAAATTTAATTTATCCACGAAAGTGTGCCAAGGTATCTGATCGAGTGAAGTTCGCGTCTCATAGACCTTATTATTTTAAATCTTTAAATTTATTTATTACTACTTGATCATGAGTCTTTAGTAGTGTGAATCTTGTTGACACAGTTTCAGCTTAAATCATGAAAACATCTGCATTACTTTAGATAAAGAAGGAATATAATCAAAATAAATAAAAACGAATCAAGGAGTTTGTCATGGTTTTCCAAGGTTTACGTTTGTCAGTCTTTCCCAAACATTTTTTTAATATATACCTAGATAATGTCAACCGAGAATGGAAGGCTAATGTCATCGTAGGAATTAACCTTTTGAATTATATTTCAATACACTCTTACTTTGAATTTTCTAAATGGCCAAAGTTTAAACTTTTTTTGGCGTCTTCCTACGACTTCAATATTGAAGTTAGATATTTTTACCTTAATGGAATCTGTTCTTCAAATATCACCGTCAAATCAAATCAACATCTTGCAATAAGGTCAGGTACCATTTTTCGTAAAATAATCGCCATTTAAAGTAAAATTTTACGTAATGTCACGTTCGTAATTTTACGTAAAATATTTTATCAAACTTCTTAAAAAGTGTCCAGTTTTTTCTTTACATTTTCCCCTCGGATACAGCAATGAAAGGTAAAATATTATGGCAGTCTCAACTCTAGATTTTCAAAAATCGCAGAACAAATATAATTTCATACAATGTTGACCATGGAGATATTTCTTTAATTAAACATATTCTAAAACATAGGATTTTTAATAAAAGATAAAACATAGGATTTTAATAAAACATAGGATTTTTAAGAATACTTTTAATCGAATATTTTTCACATGCATGCTTGATTTCAAAATAAATTTAGAAAACAATCTCAAAAGCAGCTCCGATTTTTTCCCTCGGATAGAGCAAAAAATACTTAAAAATGGCGCAGGACAAATTTTCGTTAACTCTTAATTTTCGAAAATTGCGAAAGTTTGAAGTCTTGAGATAAAATATGTGTTTTTGGAGCACAATTAGTTTTTTTAAGTTTCGGGAAAGTTGAGTTTATTTGTGAAGTTTGTGTTGTAGAAGTAACATGAAAGGCATACTATCTCTAGGAATCAAGAGTTCCATTTTCCAGCGTGAAGAAAATATTTTTGCTGGTTGGAAACACTTTTACAAATTCTGAAGTTTTATAACATTGTATTACCATTACAATTAATGCGAAAAAGTGTATGTTGTTACACCACTAATTTTATGATAATTTTGTTTTATGTTGCTGTACTACTAATTTTACAATGAAATTTTACACAATACTCTCCGAAAGGAAATGCTCCTGGGAAATTGTGAGTGAAGAGAAAGTACCCTTTGTCTGTGCCAAAAACAGATGTCATAAAAATGTAAAAAGTAAGTTCAGAAAAAATAAAGATAATTTTGATTTAAATGTGCATGCATTACTTTAAACGCTTGTTGGCAACCTGATAAAAAAGTCACCTACTTTTTCAGTTTCTTTTGTCAGCATTAACACACGAGATGGCAAGAAATACATATTAAATATGAAGGCCATTAAACAATAACATGCTATGTCACATTTCTGATGAAATTGAGATATTCGTGTGTTTGGCGTCCCGTAGATGTCTCTAAATGAGGGTTTTTATTTGAAAGAATTGCCGCAAGATGGCAGTGTAATTCATAAATTAATATTCTTTATCCCAATGTGTCTTTATCCCACACTCTTAGAAACCTGCAATTAAGAATTCCAGATTTTTTCGATTCAAAATTTTTACTTTTACTATTAAATGTCAATTGCAAATTTGACTTATTACATTTTAATAGATAATTTATGTGTTTAAGAAAAAGAAAATGCGAATTAATATCGCTTTTGGGACAATAGCTGTCAACTGATTTCTCTAAAGTCTTCTCCAAAACACTGTCATTGTCTAAATGTTCCGTGACACGCCTCCTCCCCAGAGCATTTGTATAACCTCCACTTTTAAATCTCGCGCCAGTTGCTCTGTGCGCAGAACGCAGCGCCTGCAAACTCTAGAAAGTTAGCCACCCTGCACGCGACCTTACCACTGTAGGAGACGCACGTTCAGGCAAATCTCTTTGTGATATTTTTTGCGAATTCAAAAGACCTCTTGATCGTACCTCTATTGGAAAGTGATCTGTCATCTGTTGTGCTGGTGGTGGTGGCAGCGTGGGAGGTTGAACGACTCCGTACTGCCCCGCTCCGTATTCTGCTCCGTATGGTGCTACCCCTAATTCTTGTTCTTCCTCTTCTTCTCCTGCGAATTCTTTTCCTTCCGCCGAAGGAACTGTTAATTTGTTGAGGGTGTCTAAATGTAGACAGCGAGTGTTGGAATAAATCTCAACAATTCTTCCAGAAGGTCGATGACTCAGCCTGTAAATCAAGCGAATTTTTGGAATCCTGTAATTGTATTTCACCATCCGATTCCAATCCTAAAATGTTATAATGTACTGTATAATATATTGTAAATTTGAATTTCAAAGCTATTTTTAAAATTAATAATAAAGCAACATAGGTCAACTACATTTGAGAAAAAGGTTTTATTAAATTAATTTCCGAAATGTACTTCCATGAGTAAAAAATACGTTCTTAATGGTCGACAGCATAATAAAATAGAAGTGGAAATTTCAAATAGAACTCAGATCTTTTTTGAAGTTTTTATTGCTAGTCGTCTTAGAAGCAAAACAACAAATCCCTCTGATGGACACGAAATGTACATCTGTGGAGGAAACGCGGAACTACTCTGCTATTTCCAGGACAAACTTTCAATTTTCCGCGAAGAAAGCAACGGGTCTGGTAAACGCAAGAAGTAGCGCTACCTGGCGATGAACCGCAGACCGTCGCCGGGGTTGCCGTTGAGCAGCAGGTGGTGGTTGAAGCCGTCTGTCGGCCCCTTTTGGAACGCGTTCGCCATGAGGATGGGCGCCAGGAACAGAAGGCCGTGATGCTTGGAGTGCCTCAACTCCCCTGCAGCAAAGACGCCCCCGAGTCAGCAGAACGTTACAGTGGATTACATGTTGCGATTATTTCCAGTTTTTCTCACCCTTAATTTTGCCATTTCTTTGCTACTCCACTGTAAAATTGCATTCTACATTTGTCGGTTTTAACTGACTGTAAGAAGATTATTTTCACAACTTTTAAAACAGGGTTAAACCCCTGTTCAAACCCACACCTCTGACAACTGCTTTAGTTTCCTAATCGGTATGACACAAGGCTAAACAGCACGCAGGATTGCCCAACAGCAAGAATTTATTAAGTGTTGCTCATTATTTCGAGTGCAGGCGGCGCAACCGTGTCGCCCCGTCAGCCCCTGTCTCTGAGCTGTACTCTTTGTTATGGTCAGCGGTACTCGGGGAGGGCAGTTCGGACCCATCCGATTAACTTTCTCCTCGTCGCTGCGAGTCACACTTTACCTCGAAGCAGGAAAAATTATCAGAAGTCCTGGAATGAACTTTTAACCACCGAGCTGAAGATATTACATGACTGAAGATATTAGATGATCGTCTTCCCCTCTACAATCACCCATTCCAAATTTACGAATAGGCTGCTAGGAACCCTGCAAGGGGTGGGAGAGAAGTAAGCTGTAAGGAAATTTACCCAGCAGATAGACTTCATGTGATTTTGGATTCTTCACCGCGCATTTGCTTACCGGAGCTTTCACTCCGTCGACACAACTTCGAATAAGGCCCGCCACCATGCTCTACTGCCTGCCTTTGCTAGAGCATCGTCCGCCGCGAGTATTTCAAATGATAGATTATAGTTTGAAAATCGTGCGTCCACTCTTCCTTGATCTACCAGGGGCTTTGCTCCCCAGGGTGTGTACCTAGCCGCTAGCTCCTATCCGCATTCCCTTCCTGTGCAAGAACACTTTCAGACTCTGAGCCTCTGCCATCTCAAAGCTACTAGCTTTCCAGGCTAGCACCGAAGTAAAATTAAGCGCCACTCACAATGTACCAGATCAAGTCCCTTTTCTTTGCCCAAAATATCAAGCCACTGTCACGACGAAATCAAGTACCCATCTGGGGACCGACCGGACCAGTCGGGGTGGCTCGATGCCCCCAATCCGTCTCCTCAATGCCTCCATATTGAAGCTATCGACGTGAGTACGGGAAACTAGGGGACGTGACCACGGGAAACTAGGTCACCTGACAACATCAAATCGCGCACAACAACAAACAAAATGTGTTAGATTTATACATTTGCTTTTAGAAATTTTATCGTTCATGCTCCCCGGCGGACTTTTAGACGTGGGTTTGGAATCCGCCGCCAGATACCACAGCGCTATCTGAAAGAAAAGTAAAAGAGCGAAACCAAGTGCCCACCTGGGGACCGACCGGACCAGCCCGTGTGGCTCGAAGCCCAAACCATCTCATTACCTCTACCTTGAAGCTATCGGCGTGAGTCCCACCGGAACCTAGGCAACCTGATGCTCCCCATCGGACTTTTATACGTGAGCTTGAAATCCGCCACCAGCTACCACAAACTCTAGAAAGTTTGTTCTAGGAGAAAGTGCGTTCTCTGGAGGCAAAGTGAAAGAGCGCGCACCGGTGAGCATGCCGTCTTTGTCCGTCTCGAGGAACTTGCGCGCGTTGATCATGAGGTGGTGGTTGGAGAGGCCGGCGGGGCCGCTCCGCTGGCCCGCCAGGTTGAAGGGCAGCCGCGCGCTCATGGACAGCGGCGTCGCCAAGGTGCACGACGCCGACATCCGCACCATCAGGTGGTTGCCCGGCTCCAGGCTGCGCGCAACAACAAACGAAATGTGTGGGATTTTTAAATTTTATTTTGGTTTTTAGTTTTAGAAATAGTAGCTTTCTGAATGTGCCAACAAAATGTTGTCATTTAAAGAATGGAATTTTCTTCAGTTCACTTCAGACAACCTTTTGGTGGCAATTGACGTTATGTATACTTAGCAGAAATATATCTAATTGTTTAAATACTAAATTATACAACGAAGCCTGACATTTATTTACGTGATTACGACGGGGTGACGTTTAATACGCATTTGAGTAACGTATTTTTTTTAATTTTACAAATACGATGAGCAGTTGGCAAATTATTTTGTGGTGATGAACTTTAAAGAGAAAAATCACACCAGAATCTTAATCTAATTATCTATCCAAGTCTTTAATTGCTTTTTATATTAAAGTAATTTTCATTAAGTTTTCGCAACTGGAATTTACAGATTACTCTTATTTCAGATTATATTTGGTTTCTAAAACCTGAGCAGTTCAGCGATCAATTTTTTTTCAACATGCACTTGAAAACGGCCAAAATTGAATTATCTATTTAGTGCATGAATAAGAAAATTGGCATCAAATTCATTAATACTATTGAGTTAAATGAATAAATATGTTTCTAAAACGTTACTAAGGAAAGGTTTATAAACATAGCTCTCAATGCAGGAGTAATTCACTTTCGCCACTCTGGACAAAACCATTCTGCAAAATTACAATTTTTTAGATGTTTCACTTTTCTGGTGCTAAGACAATGTAAGTATTTTACTGTCATCGTTTTCTGATTGGTGTAAGCACCTGTACTCAACGGTGACCAACAAATCCCCCGGGTAGTCCTGTTCGCCTGCGGGGCTGTGCAGGCTGAATACTACGTGGCTGGCGTTTTTCAGGTGCGCCTCCCACGCCATCTGTGCATTGCAAGGGAGCGATCGTGTTAGGGTGGCGCAGGTAAATATATATCATTTTCACTGATAATTCTGCAAATTCGTACAGTTTGAAATAAAACTAGTTTTACGTAAACGTATTCCGTATGATAGTTATGTGCTCAACGAGCTGAGTACTAAACAATTAATGAATTAAAAAACTTATTTCATGATCCATAGAAAGACTTTCAATATCTTCTATCGTTTGAAACAACTTTAGGTTTTATGTCCAAGGGTGAACATCATAAATGCCCAAATCGTTATCGCGGCTTATTAGAATTCCATTTCAACCACAAGACGGTGTCTTCCTTTGATGTAAAATGTTACATGTTATATACTCTATATGAATAAAAATTACGTACATATTGTTATTTTTTTGGGTAAAAGCAACCGCCTTATCTCTTACCTCATCAAAGTTCGTGTGGCCCTTCTCCTGTGGAGGGCCGATGATGGGACAGGTCATGCGGCCGAGAACGCAGCCAAGACGATATTCCTTTACCGTTTCGTAATCTACAGGAGCACAAGCAATGTGTTTATAGATGACAGGCCTTCATCCTTTTGTGTTACATTATACATTAATGTTGATATTTGTGAATAAACAAATTAAGTATCGTGAGAGAAACTTCAAAGTAAAACATGATAACGGGTATTCACCGCCATGAAAATATTGAAATTCTATTCATTTGGACACTTCCCTTAACACTCATAGAATTAACATCACAAAGCCAAGTAATCTAGTGTTGTAAACTAATGATCTTACAAGGCCAAAAACACCTCAAATTATTCGACAACCATATTAACATTGAAATTTATTATAGTTAGCGTTAATGGACAAATACCAGCAATTTTATGGTAAAAATTAATTGATAGATTAATTTATGATAAACTACAGTAATAAGCCTATATTAAAACATCAGGTCTCATATTTTTCTCTGTAACATCCTTTTGCATGATTTGTAAATACGTCTAATATCGGGGAGTTATAGGTTTACCAAACAATTTTGTTCATAAGAAGACACATTTTAGATGATCATCACACTTGTGATTCCTTGAATTAATTGATGTGTAATCCAAAATGTAAAATGGAAAGAACCTTACAATTATATCACTTACCAGAGAGACTGTCTAATCCCACCACCACCTCTTCCACATCTCCATGCGAGTCCGGCATTCTTACAGATACAACGCGCGCACCATAGTTGGTCAGAGTAACCTGCAAGTGGAAAAACATGTTTTATTCGTGGGTAATGATCCTGGTGTTCTCAGACACGTTTTGAAGTAAACAAATAATTTATCCCTTGCTTGCAAATAAAATAAACAATTATTTATTTTCAAATAAATCTTCGGCTATATATAATACTAATGGTATCGAATTTTGATTTTAAATTCGGCAATTTAAGGGTTGAAAATCTAATTATACTCTAATCCGATATCATACACTCGATTTCGTTTTTAGGACTTGATTTTACTCAAGTTTATGACATGCTTTCTCCACCAGCAATTTGATAACTACAACATACAGCAACCTATTCGTGCGGAAAATATTTGAGACTCAACAGGCGAAACGTCGGCCTATCTGCCAACGACGCGGCGTCACCCGTACAGCCTATAAGTCAAGTTTAGAACTTATCCCGGCAGGGGTGGTGCTTCGTTGGAGCTACATGGTTGGTGAAAATCACTGCAAGCTTACGTAGGTCTCACCATCCAGTGGGGGAAGGCCACCGCTATCTCCCGCAATAAAAAATCACAATATCCCGCAATAGAAAGCATAAATGACTTAAACGGTTGACGCGTCTGAAACCACTAATGAATCAATCAGCCAACAATAACAATGACCTCTCCGAGGAAGCGCACCTGCAGCCCGTCCTCTCCCGCGATGTAGAACTTGCGCGCGATGGCCCGGCCGCGCGGGGTGTTGACGAAGCCCCAGTACTCGCCGGGCCCCTCGGAGCGCGCCACCTTGGCGATCTCCTCCTCCAGCAAGGCCTGCGCCAGCGCCTCCGCCTCGGGGTCCTCGGCCGGGGGGGCCGGCTCCGGGACCCCCGGCGCCATGCCGTCCCCCGGGTACCCGAATCCCCCGAAGCCCCCGAACCCGTCGGGCCCCATCGGCGGGTACATGCCGCCTGGCAGACACATCAGATTTGGTGTAGAGTGGCGTAAAACGATATTAGCCGATCAAGCGAACAATAGCGTAAGTATAAAAATAATTTTTGCACAACGATTTGTTCCAAACGGAAGTAGTTCCGGACTGTATCGCTGAGTTTCCCAAATCATTGATTCCTCTTTTTGATTTGTACTTTTTAGACAAGAACTTCTTTCCAAACAATGGTGTGTAATTATATCATTATATAAATACATTATCTATATATAAATAAAAGGGAATATTCGTATGCCTACCGCGCAAAAACTAGTCCACCGCTTTTGCTGAAATTTTCTTACTTTGTTTTTATTAGTATCAGAAGAATTTAAAGAGTGGTTTGAATTATTTCGAGTATGTTTGGGTATTGTTTTTGCAAAGTAAATCGGCGAGGCGGGCTCTGTGCCGAACCTAGATGATCTTGCTTGAAGTGCGATCTATGGATATCTTTTTGAACTGCATGCCCCGCTTCGATTCATAATATCGGATAACAACGAAGTTGCGATCTTGAAAGCAGGATGTCTAAAACAACTGTTGGAAATGTAGTTTTATTCGAACATTTCTAAACATACCCATTAGAAATAATGTGCTTTTTTGTTTTCAAAAGAATTGTTATATAGCTTATCAACTAAGAAAAATTCGAAAAAAATAATTTTGAACCTTTAACAGAACACAGTTAAAATATTAGATTAAACGTATATTATAAAACTTACTTCTATTTACGCAAATGCGTCTTCTTTACTGGAAATAAAACTACGTTATGAGATTATCGGATCATATTTATGAAAATCATTTTTTATGTAAGAAAAGGAATGAAATCTCTCTTAGAGTGTAAAATACCCCCGCCATGCTCTCCCCGCTCCATCCCTTCCAGATCCCTTCTACTACACCCCTCCCCGAGCCGCCGCTCCCCTCTTTCCTTCCCATCTTTCCGACCCGCTTGCGACCACCCCCATCCTGCCTCGCCCGTCCTAGTCTGCCCCATCCCGTTCGATTTCGTTTCACCCCACGCCCCTCTCTGTCTTGGCTCAGTCCCGCGTTTCCCACAAATCTACGCCCTTATTGCCTCTCGCTTTATATCGCCCACCCGCTCCATGTCCTTATTCGCCTCGCCTCGCCCGTCCCCGCCTCATCATGTTCTGGGATCCCCTGTACAGTTGCAACGCAAATCCTTAATACACAAGTGCATTGCGGGTTGCATTTAACAAACATTTTTATTTAAAAAATGTACAATTTAGATTTAATAGTTTGAAGCTCAAACCCTTCCATTTTAATTCTCGATCATTCAAAATTTAATACATGAAATGCATGAGATACATTAAAACAATTACATGCAAATATTATAACTTCTTCCTATAATCCAAAAGTTTGTGTAGTTCCAGAATTTGAATCGACTGTGTCGGAGCACAGCTTTTGAAAACAATTAGCAAACAATTCTAGCAACAATCAATTCTAGCAAATTAAGAACTATCAAAACAATCGGACATCTGTCATCTTTACACATGTATTTCATTATATTCCTCAACACAATACATGAAAAAATCGAATCATTTTTTCATAAGTTTTAAAATATCTGAAGGACGTTATGTAAAGCTCTCTCAAAATTAAAAGTAATCGCTGCAAAATCACAGTCCTTATGGTCGGGCCAGATTGACAGGGGAAATTCATTTTGGAAAGAAAAAAAAGACGCAAATATTTTTGGCGCTAGTATAGTTTACAGGCGGACGGACAGGCGAGAGGATGGGTCGGACGGATGAATGAACAGGTAGGATGACGGGTGGGCGGGCGAACAGACGGACGGATATTTTGAAAAAAACCTTTTTCGGTGTAAGGGGGTACCAAAATCGATATCGATACCAGTTCGGTAACAGGAGGTTCCAATTCAATACCCATTCAATATTCGGATATACCATTGAGGATATTATTTCGGTATAAACTCTGTAAATCGATTTTCCGCAGCATTACGTAACATTTTCTGTACTATGTGCATTATTTTTCGTCATATGCCTTCTTAGTACAAAAGACTAACAAATTAAAATATCTAAACACGATTTTTCTCAAAAACCACTGCAATTGTTCTAAGCAAAGATCTCTTAATTATTTGACATAAGTACAATATCCATTAAAACATCTGATATTTCAAAAATTACAAATAGCTTATTCTTTTAATTTCTGATACACTTAATGTAATCTATTTCTCAATATTAGATATTTAAATGATTTTAATAACTGTTATTTCATAATATTTCTATGTTTTGCGTAATTTTGAGTTACTTCGATTGGTTTTTCAATTGATGTTTCAAGTGTTATAATGATGAATATCCAATATTATAGTATCACTTAAACGATATAATAGGAAAGCATGCGCTATTATAGCAATATTAGTTGTTTTCTATTTTATTTTGTAAAAAAAAGGTTTTGGGGGAGGACTTACACTTTTTGTAAACATTCAGGTTAAAAATATTAATAATTAAATGTAATATTCACTCAGGGGTTGTTTTGTTGTATGTTAGTCCAATTAAATGCATTAATTGTGTGTTTAAGGCACATTAAATTTGTATAATGATATTTTGGAACGCTTTTGCCCCGTGTAGGTAGGCAACCTTGGAACAGCCTCGTACCTTCTTGCCCAGGGAACTGGCCGGGGAAAGCTGGAGGGTACCCTTGGGGAAATGCGCCGGGGTAGGCGTTGGGATCCGCGCCCGGGTAGTCGCTTGGGGGAGGCGCGTAGGGGTAGGCGGCGTCCGCTCCGGGTGGGGCGTCCCAGGCCGGCGGCGGCGGCGGCGGGCCCCATGCTGCAACGTGCCATTTGATTCGCTGCTTCATTCAACAAGATAGCTAATAATAGTATTATATCATGATGGAACTGGATTGAAGTGTCTGAGAAATGAACGTAAGTTTACAGAATACTTAAGAGACATGCTCAAACATTTTTATCCTCTTTTAGATTTACATATTCAGAGCGTTTTTATTTCCCATGGTTGAAACATATGTTGGATGATCTATTTTTTTCTCTTTTCACACAATCATTATTTCTTGTCAGGAAATTAATTGTTAAAAATGTTCCTAGTCTTGCTTATCAACGCATATAATCTGTTTTCGTGTTAAAGTAATCACGGAATCCACACTAAATTGCCTTGTAACATATTTTTGTTAATTTCACTTCAAAAGTAAGTAAATGAGTAAGTAAGAATGTAAGAATAATGAATTCAGCACCTCCTGGATCTCCCATTCTTCAAATATTAATCAGTGCAGCAGAGGAATTATTGTGAAATGTAGATAGCGAGTGTTCCCGTCTGGTTACTGTAATCTAATCTTCCAAATCAGAAGAATGCCTGTGAAAACAAACACAGAATATTACCTTTGCCATTAATTCATAAAAATTAATTGCAACATATCAACGTACAATATACCAAAGTTTTTATGGATTGTGCATCTTCATCATACCTATTCGCATGTATTTATTTAAGTATTTACTGAAGAGAATTCTAATACCAGTCTTTTAACTTACACGTACAAATATATTATTATTATTATTATTATTATTATTATTATTATTATTATTATTATTGAAAATAAATATTTTTCTGATGAATTTGTTTGCCTAAAATTTATTCTATAATTAATATTATGTACATTTTTTAAAATTATTATCAGTATTTGCGAAATTTAGAGTGAAACCTATGTACAGCGTGAATGTTTCAAGTTCGTTAAGTGTTCGTGCGTGGGAATTATTATGAGTACCTCCTGTGTTACGAATATACCCTAATCCATCGATAAGGGGGAATATTTTACATACATAGCCTAATCCGCCGACAGGCAACTGTGTGTGCTATCTGAGGGTCTAGTTGACGAACTGAAGCTTTACTCTCAGTTCAATGATACAAGCTTAAAGATTGGGCAAACATGTTAATATACAAGACGGAGACATGTCTACGAGATGTTCGGGGAGCGCGAAGAAGCTCTTCACTGGGAATAATCTCAGAGGAACAGTAGGTACCTTCTAACACTCTTGTATATCTTTTAGGTGTCAACAGACGTCAGATGGGAAAAGGATGGTTCAAAACTGAAAAGCTAACCCAGACGCAAGAGAATAGAAAACTAACTAGGACGAGAGCGTAGACTTTAGGTCGAGAAAGACTGTGCCGTTATACAGCATCACTAGTTTCACTTTCAACGGCCCGGATAGGTTTTTTAATATTCATTTACGAGAATGTGCCAACGTCAAGGAACACACTGCTCAACGTGTCGAAGCATTACTTAGCAATGCCTAGAGTTCGTGGGTCGCTCTGAACGAAGTGGAACGTCGTTGCCGAGAGATGCTGTCGGGTTGGGCGGCGCGGCAGGAGAAGGGCTGCTGGGTGGGAGGCGCAGAGGGCCGCGACGGCCGTGATGTGGCGCGGCCTGGTGCGGACGGCGCGAAGCCGTGCGCCAGCGGGGGCCGCTGGGTGTTGTGTGCGTCGCCCGGCGACGGCCAGTGCGTTGTCGAAGAGCCAACCACATAAGCAGGAAACACGACGGAATACCAACACTTAATGACAAGTTAATTAGAAGTTTATTTGATCGTTGCCTTATACGAGCGCATTGTACATCAGTTCTGGACTTACATGGCAGAGTAGTGCGAAGGCCGCTGACAAGTGGCAGCCGGTAGCAGTAAATGTTGCGTTTGTCAGAGAGATTAATCGGTGGCGTCCTGCAGAAGATGCACTGGCCTTCGTTATCTCAGACGCACAGTGATGAACCTTTTTCGGAAGCTGACAAACTTTTGCGTAACTCATTAGGTTGGCGTGTCACTTGAAAGTACTAAGTGACTTCATTTTTTAATTTATTCTTTGCAGGGATGGGTGTGGTGAGTTAAATGAAAAAATCAACAGTATAACTAACAGCTAATTATTCATATAGGTGTCTAAGGATACTACAGAGGAAGAAAAGAGAGAGGGAGGGAGAGAGAGAGAGAGGGGAGAGAGAGAGACAGAGAGACAGAGACAGACAGACAGACAAATAGGCAGTACGTGAGAGGAGGAACAAACGTGAAGGAAGTCGAGCTAATGTGATCTCTGGCTCACCGTCTCCATCCTGTTGCCTTTACTGCTACTGCTATTGTTGTCATGGGATGCCATCTATTCTGAGTAGATTCGCAGGTCATCAGTTTGCTCGTGCCATAGTCTTATGTGCGCTCACGGCTGACAGAAGCACAGAGAGCTCGGCCGGTCTTTGGCATTTGCTTATATAATTTCAAGGATTCATAATTTCAAGGCGCGCTGAGTGTCATTTGAACGAATATTGTCAAAGAGTGATGTTGGAGATAAAGCCGGAGGGAAAATGAAAAAGTTTTTATTGAAAGGAGGTTTTTTGACCTCGGAAGTTGGTGAAGAATGTTAAGTGAAAAGGCATTTGCGTATAATGGCTCGTCAAAACGCCTTTTTGCCGATAGGTGTCCTGGAGTTCACTGTACTGAATTGAATAAAGTAGGACCCTCCCAGGAGAACGTTTTCTCTAAGAAATTATTGTGGGCGATTTCATATAATGGATTTACTCGTGTGGCATTTGCCGTTGATGATTAAGCAACTTACTTGCACAGATGTTTGACAGGTTCATTAAAACCTTGACTGCGCCAGAACGTGATTTGCTGAATGCTGTGCTTAAGGAGTTGCCTAAAAATTCATTCCATACGTGTAACTCCGTTGTACGAAATTTCCCACTACATGTTCAATTGATATTTTTTTCTCTACATATCCAATTAGTTTATAACATTCATTCTGAGACACATTGATAAGAGAAATAGTTTCAAATATTTAGAATATCCGTAATTCTTTAATAAAGTACTTATCTCTGTCTTTCCTTTCTTTCCTTCTTTCTTTCTTACTTCCTTTGCGTTTTATTCCTATTTGTATTTTACTGAGAACTATACACTTATGAGTGATCAAAATGTAAAGGAGACTGTCCTAATGAAACCCCTCTGTTATTCAATACATTTTCTTGATCCTACTTCCTCTACTATTATCCCTTGGTTAAACCATTAAAAGTACTACTTAACAAAATAAAAGTTGTTCATTTTTAGTATTTTAATATATATCGTTCTCATCCTGGTGGTTGTGATCGCCTGGTTGATGTGATATCTACTTGAATGTGATATATACATGTCAGGTTACAGTTACAACTTCATTCAAGATGTCACAAGTCATAAAATGAAATTACTCTGCTTTCTGTGTTTTGTGATATTAGAATAAGGAAGTATACTTAGCATAAAATAAAAACACGCTTGTAGAAAATACCTTTTATAAACAAATATAAAAAAAATAAAATAACAAAAACAGATGGTCGTGCGACAACCAGCAGGCCGGCCCGCGTCCTTCAGATGGAGGCCAGAGACGTGTGGACGGAGCAGATGTCGAGCAGCTCCGAGAAGGAGGCCTTGCTGCCTTCGAGGGAGCTGGCGGCGCTGCAGTGGTCGATCATGAGCTCGGAGGCCCTCTTGAACGGGCGCTGGCGGCCGAAGCGGCGGCGTTTGCGCGCCGGCGGCCGCGGCAGCGCGCTGAACACGTACGTCATGGTGTGGCTGTAGCGCTGCCCCGGCCGCAGCACCAGCTCGTCCAGGTTGTTCTGACCCAAACAGGCTTATGCATGTAATATAAACCTGACAAATTAAACCAAAAACCGCTTATAGAAGGAGGGAAATTGCAATTTTTGAAACTTAGAAACATACTAAAAATCCTGAATTGTGGGGACTGAGGGGAGTGGGACGTTGAAGATAAGGGGGACCTTTAAAGGTGTTTTTCCACCTTTTTCATATACATCCATAAATTTTATCTACTCTAATTTCGTGTAGAGCATACTTTTCTGTATGATTGATAGTTATGAAGAAAAGTACAAAAACAAAACGTAGAAAAAACACCTTTAAACGCACCCCCGGCTTCTCGCCCTCCATTTCTGGGTTTTTAGTAAGTTTATAAGTTTCGAAACTCCTGGATTTTTTTCTTCTATCAGAAGTTTTTGGTCTAATTTCACTGGGTTATGTTACTTAATATTTCACACTTCTGGCTTTTTAGTATAACATAATGCACCAACAAACAATGATGCCGAATTTCCAATGTCCGGAATTTTTTCACTCAATTTTAGTAATTTGACTGAGCCAATAGTTAGTTAGATACAGTTTAAATGAAGGTAGTGTATTTAAGTCAAAATTGCATTAATAATTTACTCAATTTCACTGCCACTTAATAAACTTCTGCATTCTCAGCGCATTTTCATAGGGACTGGAAAATCTAAAGATTGTTGTCAAACATTATCACGCGTGATTTTAATGCGGGAATTTTAACGATTCAAAGTTTAAACTGCAATCGTGTGAACTGCTAGCGCTGGAATAAAACCACCGCGTTACATGATTCTGAGTTTTCTAAAATAGTATTGTATACAGCATTTGTATAATATTCAGAATTTGTCTGCTGAATTCAAAATTGGTTTCTTATGCCTTATATTATTCTTTCCGGACAAGGTACGTCCTAGCGGAAAGATTAGTTTATGGGCTGCGAGTTGTGGAGCGAGCACTATTGGAATGGTACTAATTTTGATTTATAAACTTTATTTTATAACATTTTACGATTACTTCCAGCAGAATTTCAGCGAAATCTACTCATATTACACTTATTATTAGAGCCCGTATTTTAATAACCTAAAAATAAATGAAATATGCAAACACTTTTATACACACGCACCGAAAAAATAACCGTTGGAGTATACCGAATCCATGATACTGTAATAAGTTTCCTTGTTACAGTATCATGGATCTGGAATACTCCAATGGTCCTTTGTTTTGGTGCGACTTTATAATACGACACACAGTTTAATCACTACTGTTGTTTACACACCGACAGTCATTTTGTTGTCCACCAATATTTTCAAAGATTGCAGAAGTTTATTTTTTCGGTGCCTTCCTCCAATTGCAATATTTTAGATTCAGATTTCTTAAATATGTTTTTTTCAAAATTATATCTTTAAATAATTTCATGTACAATTTGTTGAATGCATGCGTAATTTTTGCGAGCAAAATAGTGGCAACTTTTAAAAATAACCTAAACAAGATTTTTTCAAATGTGCAAACGCTTCTTAATTTGTTTACTCAAAATCATTGAAGTTTCTTTAAAACCTCGGAATTTTCAAAAATTGCGGATGGTTAACCTTTTTAAAGCGATGCGTACGTTGTTATGTCGGCTTAGGCAGCTGGAGTTCTGGTTGCGCTCCATGCAAACCTATGTACCGGAGTTTGAAGCCCGGCGTGATAAATTTTTTTAAAATTGAAAACACTTTTGCAGATACAGGTAATATTATAATAATAAGTACCCGTTACAAATAATGCGAGGAAGTTTGGTCAGTAGTATCATCACTGTTTTTCATCAACTCGTACATGTGAAATTCAAAGTAGTTGACTTACCTTCTGAATCAGCAGAGGTGGCATTTGGGGATACATCATGATACCACAGTCGTCGTAGTATCTATAACTGTTGAATCCCGTGTACACTGGAGGCCGAGCTTTCACATTGCTCAGGATTTCCTCCAAAATGCCAGATACCACTTGTTTAGCTTCTTCCCTATCCACCATTGGCAGCGTCACTATGTCTCCAGGATTCGGCGCCGGACGCATTTCTGTGAGCTCCATGATGACCTGCGTGCAAATTGTGGTGAAGTGAAGTATGGACCTTAGCAACCAACATTCAGCACAAATGCTCCAACCCTGTTTTTAGGATCTAACTAATTTAATAAGATTTGAATGATGATAAAGGAAAAGCGGCCAAGTAGAACAATTCTAATACAATTTTAATCAACAGCTGAAGAGTAGCCTACAAAAACACGCGATCAAAATGACTGATTGACTGTTAATTGTCACGTTATCAGAGACGTACATGAAGAGTTGATTCATTACCACAAAGTCGATTAATTATGAAGAAGTTGGAATCACAAATATTACTCTAAAGGTAATATACACTCGGACAACTCCACAACTTTTCTTTTCCGGATCAAAGTTGTATTTCTTAGAGGTAAACTTCTCTAAATAAGGCAAGGAGGAGGTTCGGAATGCTTAGATAATATCACACATATAAAGAAATGCGGAATGTTTAGATAAGCACATATAAAGAAATTGGCGAAAATCAGCCGTTCAGAACCCGTAAGTTAAAGTAAGCCTAGTTGAGGTGTTTGGTAAATAACGCAATTTTTTTTCCCGTTTTGCTAGGTTTATAATGCAAGTTAATCATGCATTAAATTCGTGATACTGTGTAAGCAAAAGCATTTCAAAAATGTCAAGATACGATGTCACTAGATTTTAGATAAGATTTCAAGTGAATTTAAATTGTATGTCAGATAGTATCGCATTGATTAAAAAACCATGAAAAACACTCTTATTCTAAACCGTCGAGTTCATACTTGCGCGACATCTTTCTCTGCTTGTTTGTGCAATGCTTCTTTTTCTTCTACTTCGTCGGATCGTGGTTTTTGGCCAGGGATCACTCTGGGCTTCCTCGGCGGCAAGAGGTCTTCGCAGGGTGTGATTTTCGCGATGATCTCTAAAATGATCTTGCGCGCCTCGTCGAGCAGCACGGGGTCGGGCGGCGCCTTCGGCCGCCTCGTGAGGCCCAGGTTCGTGGCCAGGCGCAGCACCGGCAGGTCCGACCACACCTCCAGCACGCGCCGGCAGGTCGGGTGGAAAAGCCTGCCGCCGCAGTCGTTGCCACGTTGCATTATTATCGCGCTACTTCACTACGGCATCGCCACTCATCCAACCAACGAGCCACAGTATACTACATAGAGTGCCTGGCTCTTGATCGCTTGAGCGCTCTTGGTCGACGCTCGACGCTCCCATGTTTTTTGCAGTAAAATCATGACAGGTGCCTGACGGTGGCGTGTTGTTTGTATTAGATATTATTTCCATATTGTTGTCTTTTCGTTTATCTGTATTACATTAGTGGTTAGAATAATAAGATTCACAATGCCTTTAGTATGTTCGGCATATAACTAAAAATATAAGTCATCAAACCACAAATATCTTGTGGTCGCTCAAGACCTAGATGTTTATGCGACCATTATAAATAAATTACATTAAATTAATCTGTTTATCTGTCTAATATGATCTGTTTACTTGCTTCTTTTTGCAATAACATTCACTTTCAGGCATTATGTTAACTGCAATAACATTTCAACAGCTTCCATCCTCATGAAGTAACCGACGCAGGAAGCAAGGTGTTTTTAAAGTTTATCAATTCGTTCACCTCCCATATTGTGATTTCGTTTTCAAATGATTGATTTTTGTTTGTGGAACTCAGGATTTATATAACGCGCGACCCACACCCGCCCGGCCGTAACCAGCGCCAAACAGAATGCTAGAATACTCTGTTTCTACTGAGGGCGCTGCTTTGACTTCAAAAAAGCATGGCTTCAATTTACTGCAAAGATGGAAGCGCTTCAGCCACTCTATGTAGTACATTCTAGCTCGTTGCATCCAACTCACAACGCCTGATAGAATAACTTTTTGTTGGATACATTGGGCGTTGCGGGTGCGGTCTGAGTGGATCCGTGCTCGGCCGAATTCGCGTTCAGAAAATAAACGCCGTCTACGACAGAATATTTCAAATATTCAGTAGAGCGTAGGCACGGTCGCGCTGCTTCTGACGGCAAAGTCTATCTAGTAAAAACAATGACCTTCCATGACACCAGAAGATATCAACTGACTTGAACAGTTCGGCCAATCTGACCTACTGAAGATGGACATTGTCGAATTTGTTTCGATAATTTATGAACGAAAATAATTCTATAAATTATGAAAGGAAATTGCAAAAATTGATGAAATGAGCTGCTTATAGTTTTTGACGAACATGAATTTAACGTCACAAAATTAACAGGAATGTACATTTTCTTGAAAAAACATTTCTCTCAAATCATCAATATATTTTTTTAAAATATGGTTAACTTATGTAGAAAAATTTTAATATTTTATATTTTATTACATGTCACCTAATAGTAATGATTTGAAGTCGAATGTTAACAGAATCATATGGTCGTTCGCGTCCGACATTTCTTAGACCGAACTCGTATCCTCTCTGAACGGACCCTAAGTCACACCCACAGGTACAGTAGGGTCGCGATAATCCGAGGTAATTGGGACTGATAGCACCGCGTATTACACGGAAAAAAGGAAAATACATAACGGAATTTTCAACTACAGTGTATAATGAAGACAAATTTAATGTGCAGATAGTATTAAAATTACAGATACAAACATCCATCTATATGACCGCGAATCGATCGCGACAATGTAGCAGACATACACTGACACACGCCACTTGTTTATTTGTTTGGTGACTTGGCGCACAGGAGGCTCTTTTCTTTTCAGATTGCACGGAATCTCAGATTAGCGAAGCTTGGATTATCGGGACTCTACTGCATTACAATTGTATAGACCTATTCATTAGTGAGCGTGGGAACCATTATTAGCTGCTTAACGGGAGGAAGAACTGCAAAAAATAACTATTTTAAAATTTATTGTTATTCTGATGCAGTTAACTTCACAGCGCCCAAATTTATCAAAGTTATTTCAGTGTTTCGTTGTTTATAGTTAGCATTTTGTTTCAAATGATTTCTTAAGCCACCACAGCATAAGCACTATTAAGCTTGAAAATAAAAATACATATGTAAATACTAAGGGCATCTATATGTTAAGAAAGGAGTTTTAGGCAGGCAAATTTAGTGAAGAATTTGTAAACCGCCCTCTTCCAGAATGAATACTGCACATAAAAAAGTGGTTTTTGAAGTTTTCGATTTTTCATGTAGTGAATAATAAAAATAATTAGTTTGATATAAACTGTATTTTCATTTACATCAAACTTGATTGGTATTGAAACTATTAAAATGTTCTTTAATTGTTGTAGTGCTATTTGGAAAAGATTGCTTCGCCTATGCGTTTTATTTCTCTTCTACTAAATTGATGTATTTGCACCGTGTAAATTAACCATTGAGTATTGAAAGAAATGTATGTATTTGTAATGTATACTTTCCTGGTGAATGAGTATTCCACTGACTAGCCACCAGTAAAGAGCAAGTATTCAAATCTCTATGTTATTGGCAATGGGGACTAAAACCTGAGTAGTATTAGCAACGAAGCTGCAGAATTGTATGTTTTATACGGTGTGATATATTTTCCAGTATTATTTTGTTAATTATTTTTACATTTCACGTTGAGCTTTCTCAGGACAATTGAGGAGAGGGTTATGAGATTCTAATGATCAGGCATGAGTGTTGAATAATTAAGATTAATTTCGAAATTAACGACATTCAATAAAGAGTGGGAGAAATTATTACCTAAACAGCTGAATTAAGTGTGGGGAGCTTAAAATATAAGATCTACAAGAAGCACTGTTTCTTTAAAAGTTCAGTGCAATAAATGGGCGATTTCTGATATACCATACGATATATGATTTTGAGAATATCGCTTGGAACTATTCACTTTTTTAAACAGAATCGTCTACATGCTTATATGATATGTGTTATCGGATATATGAAGGCATGAATGAAAAGTCGTGGGGCATAGTGAGTAACATATTCAATCCTATTTACTTATGCCATTACTCTCAATTCAATCTTTCGCGAATTTTTAACAAGCCTTGTCTTACTTTCATTACTGCAGTGCAAGTAATTTGTTGATTAACAATCAAGACTTTACAGAAATCAAAAACTACACAGATTTTTGCAAATTATTTACGAACACACTTTTTGAAATTATTCACTTACACGAGCCAACGCGATGCTAAGAGCACGTTGCTTGTACTCACCTAGCCATGAGGCGTTGCTTCTTTTCTGAGCCTGGGCGAGGCTCACGCATGCACATGAGCACGTCGTAGCTCTTGTCTGGCGCGTGGCGTAGAATCTTCCGGAGATGTCGTGGAATTCGTAAGTCATACGGAGTAGAAGATACGTGCCTTTTTGCGCCTGTGAGTGCATTTTTTTATTTATCAACGTAGAGGGTGCGGTCAAATAGTGCAGATAGAAGGTTAGTTGGCAACATAAATACTAATATTTTCGAGTTCTACTTATATTTTATCTACGTAAGCTAGTCCAACAAATGAGAAGTGTGAAAGAATAAATAGAAATTGAATGTGAAAATTCAAATATTTTGAAACATTTTGATCTTTGAATATCTGTGAAAATATATTATTAATAAAATGGAAAGACCAGAAATGAATGGTAAAGAATACGATACAAATATTTCCCCGGTACATTTTATGTTACTATATATAAATTGAGTTCTTATCTGAAGTGAAAGGGTTTCTGAATGAGGTAGTAACCAAAACAACAGAGGCAGAATGGCGAAATGTAGTTGAATGTACCAAGAAAATGATTATAGATTCTTGCAAGAAGGAAGTATGTATTTACTAGAAACATGGATGTATTTACTTTTAATTAATTTTACTTATTTACATAAAGTAAATGAGAACAGTGTGGCAGTGGAGATTACAAATAATACAAAATAATTTCTGGTCTAGAATATTTGATTTTTAATAATAATTTATATAAACTTAGATGTATTTATACTTCCTAAAAAGATCCAAATCAATTCTCCCAATGATGGTTCAATACTAACATCAAAATGGCTAAAACTTTAACAGTCAA